ACGATCTAATTTCTCTCCTACTTTGCTAAAACTTCCTCCCTATGTGTACAGCTCATCCGTCAGCGAGTTGAGCGTGAGACCCTCCTTGGCCAGGTCCTTGACCTCGATCAAGAAGTTGAGCGGCATCTCAACCAGGTTGCCGCGCACCTCGGCCAGGCGCTCCTTGACAGCGACGACACCGCCAGGATAGCCGGGGACGACGTGGCCGTAGTCGACCTTGGTCGGCGGTGTGGACGGTGATGGGGGGTTCGAAGCATCGTGCCCATCTTGGGATGGATGCAATGCGGCCGCTGCTTTGTCCTGTTCCTTGTTCTCCTTGTCATTGCGCTTGGCGCTCTCGTCCTCTTTCGCACCGGGCATCGTAAAGTACTGTGAAAAATACGAGTCGTACTGGTCCCAGTTGCGGACGCGGTCCGAGGGCACACAGTGGAAGACGTCGTCAAAGACGGCGGTGTTGGTGGCGGCAGTCGTTTGCCAGAGACGCGTAAAGTTGGCGATCAGAGGGTCCGACACCAGTCGGTCGGCCGGGCTGTCCCAGTCATACGCGTTTGGCGCCACGGTAATGGGTGAGAAGTTCTGCGTGGGCTGGTCCCAGCGCTGGTCAGGCAGCAGGCCAATGTGCTTGCGGAACAGATGGCGGCGCAGGCTGGCCGGGAAGGCACCCACGACATACGGGTTGCCGCCCATGGTGGTGTGGATGGGGTGCTCTGGGTCTTCGATGACGACGGCGATCTCCGAGTCGTGCGAGCCGAGTTGCGAGCGGTCGTTGAGATTGGCACTGCCGCAGATGACGAGACGGTCGTCGGCGATGAGCACCTTGGTGTGGATGTACAGCTCCTCGCTTACAAACGCCGCAAGCTCAGCATCACCGCCGTCCCCAGTGAGGCCCGGCGCGCCCTCGCCCATCCATCCCCGCTTTGTCAGATCCGGGCCACCGTCCATGTACGAGGCCGAGACGGTGTCCGCGGTCTTGAGCAGGTCCGGCTGATCACGGGTGATGCCGGCAGCACCGGCCTGGTAGCGACGGTAGCTGTCACCGAGCTCGCTGTGGACCTTGCCCCCGTCGCGGCTGTAGCCGTCGTATCCAGACTCGACGGCATCGTCAAACTCGCGGCGCGCGTCCTCGTATGCGACGCCACTGGCCTTTTCGGCACGGCCCATGAGCGGCGTAGTATTGATACGATCGTAGTTGCGCAGGTTGTAGAAGCGCAGGTAGTGCGCAGGATCGGAGACGCCAGCGGCGATCAGTGCGCCGTAGATGCTGTTCTTGCCACGGTTGATGCTGTTGTATTGGTACTCCATAATGGCACGCGTGCCGAGAGCGCCGTCGGCGTGCAAGTCGCCGGCGAAGCCGGGCACGGCAGGGATGCAGACAACCATGCCAAAATTTTCACCCTGTTCGTGCGCGCGCACGATGCGTTGGACAATGGCGCGGCCGATCTTGTTGCTGACGGGGTGCTGGTCGTCGCTGGTGGCGGTAATGAAGAATTGGTTCTCAATGTAGACAAAGTGCTCGGCGTTCAGGATGGCGGAAATGTAGGCATTGGCAATGGAGTGCTCGATCTTGTGGCCCGCAGACCACTGGCAGCAGCTGCGGGTGAGCTGGATGTGCACACCGCCCAGGTCACCACTGTCGAAAGCCGGACCACGGCCTTGGCCGTAACTGTGGTGATGGCTGCCGTCCCGGGACCGCTCTACATCACCGTCGTCACCGTCGCTCTCGCCTAACATACGGCTCATGCCATGGTGCAAATGACGCTGGATGCCGCCAACAAAGCGCTGACCGCCTGCATAGATGGACTCGCCTGTGTCACGCAGGCTATCGGGAACATGGTGTAACTTCAACGGAAACGGTATTTTCTCATAGCCCTCGTTGCGGGACACGTACTTGCCGTTGAAGATGTAGTTCCTATAACGGTGAGGAGGTGGTTAACATAATTTCAAAAAGGGAAGTTCAGGGCCAATAGCGACGTACCATCTGTCGATGAAGTGTGTGACGAGGCTGTTTACAATGTGACCAGATAGACTGATGCTGATGTCGGACCAGCCCATACGGGAACTCTTGGTACGGTCGACTAGAAGTGTTAATAAAAGAAAACGGCGATCAAAGGGGAGAAAGAGGGGATGGGAGGGAATGTGGAATTCGAGGTACTAACGTTTGTTGTTCTCCCATTTGTCGACGTCCTCAAAATCGTAGACGCGTGCATTGTTGTAGTCCTGGCCCGGGAAGAGGATATCGTCCAGGTTCTCCGGGTGGGCATCGGCAATGGGGTGACCTAATCGTTGGCATCTTCTTTCCATTGTGTCTCTCACTCTCCCACGTGCCTTCATGTCTCACATGATCCACCCGTGGTCACACATCGACTTACTATTGGTGTCCCAGCGTCCAAAACCTGCGATGTTAGTGCTTGTACGATAAACGCTGACGAGCCCTTGTTCGACTTCACGTACACAAATCAAGGCCGCCCATAAAGGCAATGTGGCCATCGATGACGCACAGCTTCTCGTGGTGCGCCCAGTACAGGACCACGTCGTCGGAGGTGCCGTAGAGCGTCTTGAGCGCGTCTTTCCCAAGCTTGCTAAGGTCGAAGGTACGCAAGTTCATGTTCTTGAAAGCAGACTCAAAATCGGCCTGAAAATCGTGGCCACTCGGGAGATGGTCCGGGTGCCGGAAGACGCGAATGTTGGGATGCAGGGCTTCGAGGGCATGCTTGGTGTGCTGGCACGGTAGAAGTCAGAGTCAGTAACAGCCACTTTTTGGTATGAATGCAGTGAAAATTAGTTGGAAGGCACTGAAATATACCTCTGAGTTCACTGGGTGATGTTAGCAAAGACGAGTTTCCGGACGTATAAACGTCAAAGGAACACTTACACGTCAGGGCCTGCGGCACCTCCTTGTACACAATGACACGGATTTGCACACCGCGCTCGGCAGCCGCTTTGAGCATCCGGTCGAGGCGGTACTGCTCGTTGCTCGACGGTGGGCGGCGTAGGTATAGCTCGGGGCTCAGCCACCAATCGAGAATGTAGATGGTCTCGCGGGCCTGCGCAAGAGCCTCGGACACGGCCCAAAAGTACGAGCAGCCATCGACGTACCACTTGGCGCGACCCGTGGTCTGCGGCGCAAAGGACTGGAAGCGGTTGCCGTTATGCTCGTCCGAGTGCGACTCGGCACAGTCGAAGCCATGGTGTGTGTGCGAGTGGTGCTCGCCGCCATGAAACAGGCCGTCGATGCCGCTTTCGACCTTGTGGAAGATGTTTTGCATGGTGATGTCCTTTTTGTTCGACGTATTTCCGAACCCTTGTGATTCTCTTCCGTCCTGTTCTGGGAAGGTTAGCATTAAGGACGACACGAAAAGTAACCAAGATAAGAACCAACCCCTCTAAACTCGGGATCCTGGCGTAGTGCCACGCGGCTTTTTTTCTTACATGTAATTCCTCTTCGTCGCGGGGCGCTCTGCGACGGCTGATCTGTTATTGAGCTGAATGGAAGCTGACGGCGGATGATGGCGGAGCTACTTTAGTTTTGACGTTGCTGTGTTGAGGATAGCGCAGCCGTGTGGGAGGGGCAACGATGGGAACAGACCCTGAAAGGAAGTTGTGCCTCGCAGCATTCGAAGAAAAAGGACGGGAGATCCGAACAAAAAAGAAAACAAGAAAACAAGAAAACGAAAGGAGTTTCACAGGACAGAGACAGGACAATTGTAGAAGAGCTAAAGGAAAAAGGCAACGCACATGGCATCTCACCTCCTCTGCGCTCTTCCCCACTGACCCCAAGATGTGCCTGGCCGTGCTTAGCTGGTCAACTGACAAGCTCAAAAGGTCGTATTTAAGGTCGCCTGGTAAGGCTGGCGATTGGACTGCACGCTATTTGCTCGCATTCGGGGCATCACCCGCCCCTAACTGCAGGGACATGGCGGGTACTTCTGAGGACTGGCAAGCCATGGGCAGTCTAAGCAACAAACAATTAGCGGATGTCAAACATGTCACGGCAAGCAAGCCGTTGAGGAACGCATTATGATGATGCGATGCACGGCCGTGGCGAAGTGCCGCAGGATTGAGGCCAAGACGTAGGAGGCGTTCCTGCAGGGTGTCGTTTGATGCAGGGTGGACTCTTGCGAGACAGTGAGACGGCGAGGTGGTCAACCGTGTCGCTTAGTTCGTACTGAGGAGGTAGAAAGCATCAGATGATGGAAGAGAGCTCCAAAACTTCAAAGTGGCTTCAATGAGTTGATGATTCTTTGCAGCGCAACACTGACACGTCGCAGGCGCCACTTTGGCGACCGCCAGATCAGATGCAGGGGCACAGGTCAACATGCATGAAATATGAAATGCAAGTGGCGCGGAGTTACAAACGTTTCGAGGATTGTACCGCTTTGGTGTTGCTGAAAGTTATCGCCAAAAGCTGTTTCTTTTCTTCTTCTTTTTTATGTTTTTTGTGTACCTGGACCTAATATGTAATTACACAAGATTCCAGTTGACATCTAGGTACTGTAATAGGTAAGAGGCCTTGGTGACTTCAAAACAAGCAACTGCTAACGACGTGCGCCTGCTCAGATCACTTGGCGATGACAGTCGCGCCTTCCTCCGTCATGCTCAGTGGTGTGTGCACGTGAGTACCATACGTCAGTGGGGTGGGACTGCAAACAAAGTCAGACAGCAGCGAGCGCTTTTAGCGCCTAGGATCCGCCGCGGCGACAACAAAGCTCGTGCCATTGTCTTCTTCATTGTCATTGTTTTCGCGACGCCGACTGTTTGCCCTCAAAGCAATGTTCTAACAAACTGCATCTCAACGTGCATACGTCTCCTGCGACTCGACGACAGAATGACGCTTTCGCGCTCCAGCTTATCAAAAATTGAACTGTTCTAATCTTCCTGACGTCCAATTGACTCGCGCCCCGAACCATTGACACCACGCGATCGCGACAAGAGAAGAGACTAAACGGCACGCGGTCGCCCATTGGCCTTTCCTACACACTCACCCACAGCATACCGCCATGATGGCCCCGTCCAACTCGTTGGTCGACCCGGCCATCACCGGCTCTGAGGCCTCCACGGCCATGCATTCCCCACACCCGCATGGCGCACAAGACCGCGACGCAACAGAAGACGCCACCTCCTCGTCAGAAGCGGACGATGCATTGTTCGTGTCGCCGGCCAATGCATCGAACTCGGCCTCCGCGTACGCAGCGTCGGCTGCCGCGTCCGTCGCTGCGGCGGCGGCGGCGGCTGCGGCTAACACCCCCGGCGTACATCACCACGTCTCGACCGCATCCCCGAGCGCGTCTCCAGCACCAGCCGCGCCTCTAGGCGGCGCATCTGCCTCTCCGAGACCGTCGCCAGCCGCTTCGGCAGCCTCCCATGTGGCCTCGCCTGATGCAGCCTCTATACCCGCGGCGCATGTCCAAAAGTACAACCCCGCCGTCCACAGCCACCTCGTCCTCTACCTCGCTGCCCTCCACGGCGCACGCATCACATCCGACAACCTCTCCGGCAGCTTTGCGCCGCCTTTGAACCACGAGAAGCTGCTCGACTGGTGGCGCGACCGGCTGACCACCTCGGCCGTCTTTTTGCTGCTGCGGTCGTCGCCCGTGTCGTCTTCGTCGGCAGCACCAGCCAAAGCGGCCGGACCGGACCTGGTGGGCGTCATCATGCTGCGCAGCCACCCGGCCGAGACGAGCCCGCACGTGGCGTCGGTGGAGCTGCTGCTGGTGAATCTGCAGTACCGGCAACTGGGCGGCGAGCGGCAGCTGCTGCAGACGGTCGAGCGGCAGGCCCTGCTGGAGGGGCGGACGCTGCTGACCGCCGAGGCCGAGAGCAAGTCAAACACGGCATCCATGTACTCGGCGCTGGGCTTCACGGAAGTGGGCCAGATTCCGGGAATGGTGCTGCGGCCGTCGACGGGCGAGAAGCGGGCACAGTCCATCTTTTACAAGGACCTATTACGAGCCTACCAGCAAGAGCAGGGGCAACCATAATCTCCTCGGGCTAGGTCTAGAATTGGCAGAGTAGCGGCTTGGATGGTTCTTTCCGTATTTTTTTATTATTATTGTGATGGTAGTTTTAAATATTTTCGCCCAGGCAAGTACGGAGGAGTTTTGAATATCATCTTGGTTTCGGGAGTATACCCTCTTTAAAATGCAATGGCCGCGGATAAAAACAAAAGCATTTTTATTACAAGAACGTATAAAGTACAATCAAAATCCAAGAAACGTCAGCCAGCTCAGTTATATAGCAAAGGTAAACACCACCGATGCCCTGTATACCACATCAATGCTTTTCGGTTATAACTTTTGCCAGGATCGACAAAAAAAGACGAGCTTATTCCCTTTTTCCCAACGCCACACAATGTATCTCTATCGTTCGGGTTTTGTTATACCGCCTCTGCCTCGAGCAGAATTGTTCCACCAATACATGACGTGCAAGCCGCCCATGCACCATTGTCCAATTTGTTGGCCAACAATCTACTCCTCGTCATCGTCCACCTCCTCGACTTGTGGTGACTTATAGGCTGTCCGTTGCGCCGGTGCCGCGTTGATCTGGGTGTCGGTGCCAGTCGTCGTGGCCGTGGCCGGCGCCGGCTGACCGGTCGTACCGGCAAAGTGGGCCTGGCCGGCGCTCGCCGAACTCGCCTTGTTGGTCTTCTTCTTCTTCTTCGGGTTGGGCTGTGATTGTTAGTATATTTCCAGGATGGGAGAAGAAGGGCACAATAACGGTGAGAGAAAAACCAAACAAAGAGGGGCGACCAGAAAAAAAATCAAAAATCAAAAACTCACATCATGCCATGCCCATACGGGACGGAAACTGTCCATGAAAGAAACGTCCTCCCAGAGGTTCGGGTACAGCCACAGGCCGGGCGGCAGCACAAAGTAGGTGACGCAGAACAAAATCACACGGAAGATGGCCATCAAGAAGAACAGACCCAGCAGGCCGAGAAAGCCCCAGCTCAGGTAGTAGACGCCCTGGCGCATGCGCAGCGGCCACAGCGGGTACAGCACGACGGCAAAGATGGCCAGCAGTGCCAGGCCGGCGTAGACCTTGCGCATCACCTGCGAGCCCTCATAGAGCCACACGTAGTACATGTCGTCGCCCGCGTCCTGCTGCCGCTCAATGTTCACAGTCCACTGGCCCTTGACACGCTTCACCTTCTTCTTCTTCTTTTCGTCGGCGCCGTGGTTGTGGCCCTCGTGCTCGTCGGCCGCCTTGTTGACGCGCAGCGCCAGCATCGACAGCGGAAGCAGCTTGAACGTGTTCTCGAGCGACGCACGGTCCGTAACCTCGGGCAGACCTGGCGTCTTCTTGCGCGCCTTTTCGTAGGCCGGCGACTGGATGGCGCGCAGCGCGCGCTTCACGCGGAACATTTCTTTGCGCTCGCCGTTGAGGATGACGGTGCGCGGCTTGAGGTCCTGGCTGCGCAAGAAGTTGGCCAGGGCAATGGCTACCGGGTTCGGCGGGCCGGGCTGGATAGGTTGGGGCTGCTGCTGCTGCTGCTGCTGCTGCAGCTGTGGCGGCGGGTGGTTATGGTTGTGGTGGTCGTGGCCATCGTGGTTGTGGCCATCTTCATTCGGCTCGCCGCCGCCGCCTTGCTGCTGCTGCTGCGCCCGTTGGGCCGCTGCTTGCTGCATAGCCATTTGCTGACGCGCCTTTTGCTGCAGCTGCTGGATGAACTCGGGAACGGTCATGCCTGCTTTTTGGGCGTCGATGGCAAGCTGGCGCTGCATGGCCTGGATCTGTTCCGGCGAGGGCATGTTGGGTGGCATCTGCCCCGGCTGCATCATCGGTGGTTGCTGCATCGTGGATGTGTCTGGGGGACAGCGTGTGTGAAGAGGGAGAGCGAGGAGGGATGGAAGACGTCGAGTGTGTCGGGGAGCTCTGCGAGGCTGTCGAAGCTGTCGAGAGTGGCCGAGAAACCGGAAATCGACGGAACCAGGAGAAGGGAGCCACGAGACGAAAATGAGGAGGTCGGTAACAAGACACTGCCAAATACGACAAAAACCAGAACGTGCCTCGTCGGGGTTGTCGATGCAAATAGAAACGATAAACCTCCGTGCTTGTGTTTGGGGAGAAAAACGATAGTTTAGAGTTCGGAGAGAGCACGCTGTTCAATTCCAATAAAAACACTTTACCGCGTGTAGCACTGTCAAGGGAACGTGTCTTCAAAGGAAACTTAAACAAGGGGCTGCACCTGCCGCGTTGGGCGGGTCCTTTGGGCCAGCGGGTAGCGGATTGTCCGGACCGGTTTTGGCAAGCTGCTGCACGTACAGTTCTATCTGTTTATTGCACTGTATCTTAACACTGTATGTCATTCCGTATCGCGGGGCGGCTTAGGATGGATAAGATAGGGCGAGGGGCACACTAGTTGTGGTACAACGAGATATGTGCAGACTGTGAGGAGAGGAATGTACCTCTTGAGCCGTATGCCACTCAGTCTAAAAAAGTTCTGTAAGTCGCTTCTTATCGGCGATGGAACGACCGCGTCGGGGCCATTTTTTTTTCTTCGTCGCTTTTTCTTTGGGAACAGTCACCCGAACGTCGTCACGATTGCGAAGCATCCGACCGCCCATACACTTGACTGTTTTGCTGAAACTCACAAAGGACCGAAAAATGACTGCTACTGCTGTTACCGAGGCCGAGGCGCCGCACAACAAGTTCGACGTAAGTGACCTTTGCCTCTGTTTTTTTCTTGCACCTTTTTGTTATCAACGTCCGTCTACTGCTGGTCTGCGACGTCTCTGTGTTGCCCACCGATATCAAGATCCATCAATGTTAGGCCAGGGGGTCGGAATCGCCGCGGAATTGGCCGAATCTCGAGTCGTAACAGACAATGCCGACAATTACTCCTACGAGCCACGATGTGTCGAGAACGAGACCTGCCTTCTTTCTACGACGCAACCGTCCAGCTACACGGAAGATTGGGCACGAGACATACCATACAGATAATACAGAGGGTGGAATATCGTAGCTAATATGCTTGACACAGACCATCCTGGTGCTCGACTTCGGCAGCCAGACCAGCCACCTGATCCTGCGCCGTCTGCGTGGCCTTAATGTCTACGCCGAGATGCTTCCGTGCACGACGAAGCTGGCCGACCTGCCCTTCAAACCCAAGGGCATTATCTTGTCTGGAGGTGAGGTTTTCGTACGCGACGATGGGTTTCAACAGACTGCGGAATAGTTGCTAATGATAACAGGTCCCTCTTCGGTCTACGACGAGGGCTCGCCCCGTAAGGCGTCCCCAACATTCGCATACTTTTGTTTGATCGCGATCCGAGCCCCGTACTGACCATGTAGACGTCGACTCTGCCATATTTGACCTTGGTGTCCCAATCCTGTACGTTGCCAAATGATAACCTTTACAATTATCTTTCCAAGCTGGACATCGTACTGACAGGCTGCAGGGGCATTTGGTAGGACTACCTCCTATTTTACGACCGACGTCGCCTCGATATGGAACTGACAGGTGTCTCTAGCTACGGCTGCCAGGAGCTCGCATGGCAGATCAACTCGGCCAACGTTGCCCGCGGCGAGGCGCGCGAGTACGGCCACGCCGACGTGACCATCCACAAGGTCGACGATCACGTCGACCGTCTCTTTGCCGGCCTCGGCGAGACCATGCACGCCTACATGTCCCACTTTGACAAGCTCGTGTCGCTGCCCGAGGGCTTTGTCATTGTCGCCAGCACTTCCAACTCGGAGTTTGCCGGCATCGCCCACAAGGAAAAGGCCATCTTTGGTGTCCAGTTCCACCCGGAGCTCGAGCACACGCCCCGCGGCAGCGAGCTGCTGCGCAACTTTAGCGTCGACATTTGCGGCGCCAACCCCAGCTGGGTCATGGGCGATTTTGTCGAGCAGGAGATTGCGCGCATCCGTCACCTGGTGGGCGACCGTGCGCAGGTGATTGGCGCCGTGTCGGGCGGCGTGGACAGCACCGTGGCGGCCAAGCTGATGAAGGAGGCGATTGGTGACCGCTTCCACGCGGTGCTGGTGGACAATGGCCTGATGAGGCTCAACGAGTGCCAGCAGGTCAAGGCGACGCTGGGCGAGCACCTGGGCATCAACCTGACCGTCGTGGACGCCGCGGACCTGTTCCTGGGCCGTCTGGCGGGTGTTCTGGAGCCCGAGAAGAAGCGCAAGATCATTGGATCGACCTGTAGGTTCATGGGTCCGACTGCATTCGTCCGGTCGACACGTATGAAAAACTAACGAGTCAGTCATCGACCTGTTCGAGAAGGAAGCCGAGCGCATTGAGAAGGAGGCCGAAAACACCCCCAACGCCGGAAAGGTGGAGTGGTTCCTTCAAGGAACGGTAAGGACGAGCCTTTTGTTTCCTTTCGTGTGCTGACTTGTCGCTAACTGGAGTCTAGCTGTATCCTGATGTGTATGTTTCGTGTCCAAGCCACCAAGGCACCGTATGTCTTGAGAAGGCACAAAATTCAAAACTAACTGTTGTGCAGTATCGAGTCCCTCAGCTTCAAGGGCCCTTCGGCGACGATCAAGAGTGAGCAACATGTCGGAAGCGGAAGGGGATATTCAAACGAGTGAAAGAAGTACTGCTAACAAGACAAAAAGCTCACCACAATGTCGGTGGCCTACCTGAGGTATGTTGTCTTCGTTTTTTCACTTCTCTACATATCCATATACTAACTTGTTTGTAGCGCATGATGAACGGCGTAAGTTGTGACTATGTCTGCATGTGACAATTATAATGCTTACGACGACTGACACACCTCTGCATTTACAGCAAGGCCTTCGTGTAAGTGGCTTCCGTGCTGGAGTGATGCAAATGGTCGTCGCCCATACTAACAACACCAGCTCCTTGAGCCCCTTCGCCTGCTCTTCAAGGACGAGGTCCGCGCCATCGGCCGCACGCTTAATATCCACAATGATCTGATCATGCGTCACCCGTTCCCCGGCCCGGGCATTGGCATCCGCATTCTCGGCGAGGTGACGCCCGAGCGCGTCGAGGTTGCGCGCAAGGCCGACAACATCTACATTAGCATGATCAAGGAGGCCGGCATCTACGACAAGATGTCGCAGGCCTACGCCGGCGTCGACACCAACAAGGGTATGTCCTTCCATACGGCATTCTTTCTTACGATAAAACGACGATGCTAAGCTAACAATACAGCCGTCGGTGTCATGGGCGACACGCGTGTCTACGGCTACATTATCATGTACGTTCTCGTCGCGACCCACCACTCGAGTCAAACACTGCTAACGTACCGCAGCCTCCGCGCCGTGACGACGAGCGACTTTATGAGCGCCGAGGCGTTCGAGTTCCCTTGGGCATTGCTGCAGAAAATTGCCCGCACGATTGTCAACAGCGTGGACGGCGTCTCTCGCGTGACCTATGACCTGTATGCTTCCTGTCCCCTCACGCCTTGTTTGTGGTTAGTAAGACAACCAAAGCTAACCCATCTACAGGACCTCCAAGCCTCCTGGCACCATTGAGCTGGAGTAACTGGAGAAGGGACGACACGAGTGCAGAGAGAAAGGAGTCTGGGAGTTGTTTTCTACTATTCCAAGCACATTATCCGAGCGTTTGCGGACGGAAAAAAGAGCTCTCATAAACAAAAGACTATTCCATCCTATCCTCAATATAGAGTTTGTTTAGACAAGCCGGTTTTTGTATTTGTATTTTTCTTTGTTTATTTTCTTTGGCTTCGTTTTCTTGTATAGAATAAAATACCAATAGAAGAGAGGGTTCAGAACCAGGTCATGTCATTTTTTTTCTTTCCAGCGGTTCCCGGGATTCATAGCATAATGTCTACATTGTCTCGTCTCCTTGCGGTCAAGTGAGGGCAACTCGTGTCAACTCGCCAAGTCATCTAGTCACATATGCCGCAGATGTCAGATCATGCACGGCACAGGCCAGGTGAGCAGACGAGCTGTCTGAGGACGTTGTTGGCAGGCGCCGTTGGCATTTTGTCACAGAACCAAGACGACGAGAAACCGATGCCTGCTGGCCCGTCGTCTTGCTGTTCCGGGACCCTTGTTATCGATCCGCCCGTTTCGATCCATTGTGCCATTTGCAGCATTGCTGCCCGAGGCAGCCCAGCCCAACGACTTTGTGCTAGCTTGTTAGTCTCTTCCCAGCACCAGGGAACGCGTCCTGACTGGCTGGTGCAGTGGCTCGAGGGGCCACGCCAAAAGTCGCGAGGGCCGCCAAGGGCAAATTGGTGTGTCGCAGGTGCAGGCTCTCGCCAGCCAGTTATGGACGAGAACGCAGGGGTCTCGTCAGATGAGGCTGGCCCGTCGGCAGCTCGGGCGAGCTATGTTTTCCTAGAGGGGGCTCCACTGTCCCACTAACACAGAGAAAGCATGACAACCTCTTGTGAGGTTCGCGACCGTCGACCTCGCTTTCTTTCTCTTATTCTGTCTAGTTAATCCCGCCGTGCCGCGCTCGGCTGCAAGTCATCTGTGGCTTATCGACTGGCTTTTGTACGAGCATCTCCTGCCAAACGATTGTTGTTCTTTGTATGGAGTTGTCATTGTCCATCTGTGCCGTCAACTTCTCAACTGAGCTAAGCTTCAACTATAGTAGCATATCTAACCGTTTTCATGAGTTTTCAGCCGTATGACTACGAATCCTATCATGTTTACTTCTCTAGCCTCTTCTGTCTTTCTTTTCGGACCCTTTCTTTTCTTCGCTTTCTTCCGTCCTTCTCTTGTCTTTGCCTGGCACTAAAGCATCTCCAAACCCATTTTTTATTGATTTATTATTTTCAGCTTCGTCTCGCTACACTCCGAGCACGCCCATGTGAGAACTATCTGAGCATCCCGGTAAATCTGACCTGCCCCTCGGAATGCGCTGTAGATTGTTTACGATCTGCTTGCGCTGCATCAAGGAGGAGTGGAGAGTCGTGTGTCCTTTTTCTGTCGTTTTCTTTGTCCATCTGTATTCTTTTTGTGCCGGTCGTATTCGTCTTGAACAAATCACAGCCTGCATCGCGACTTTTGCCAGGCACGCTAGCAAACTAGCCAAATCGCACAGCCGTTTTTCGTTCCTTTTCCGTTTTCTATTCCCCACGAGCTGACCTCACTTCCTTTTTGCTTCTCACCGCCCTTTTAAGGTGAGCTCGGCTGAGTACGACAGGCACCAACATTTACTAGTCAGATCGGCTGCCAGCCAGTCAGCTTTCAGAAGAAGGCACATCCGCATGTTGGGCTGTGCTCTTGGAATATTGTGATCTGTTTCCGGCGTATTCTGACGTGTTTTCGACGCGGTTCGTCTTGCTTGGTCGTAGATTCGGGCATAAACTAAAACGTGGGATCGCACGGGGACGTAACAAATCAAACGGAAAGGAACGTCCGGTGATGGGCATCGTGACAACAAATCTAAAAGGGGGGTGAAGACTCACAATCGGGACAGATGACAGAGTAGGGGGCGAGATCCATAGTCGGCAGTTCCATGCCACCAGAAGAGTCGTTCGTCAGGCTCTGCCTTTTTTTCTTTACTTTTATTAGTTTTTCAACCGCAGCTTTTCATGACCCGTCTCTGGAATCTTATTGGCTGCCTCGCGACTCTTCCTTCCCCCTTGCTTCTATTTATTGCCTCGTTTGTCAATCTTGTCAGCTCTTTTACGATTGAGTTTGATTCTGCCGCCTTTATTTTCATGACTGTTGTCCATAGTAGCTGATCTAATTTTTAAATATCAGCTGGGCTGACACTATTTTTATTTCTGATGGGCGGACCTTGTGTTCGGTTTCCCGCCGTTTTGCCTTCACCTATCTCGTTCGGCGCGTCGTTTGATTATGGGTGACGTACCTGCGTTTGGCAGCCGACTCTACGTGTATTTCTACGAGATGCGGCCTCATCAGCCTTGCATCGCCCCCAATTTCAACGATTGTCCCCGATCTACTCTCCCTCGCCCTCTTGGTGGCTCTCGGCGGGTTCCTTGCATGTGAGCCGTGTGGTCCACCCTGGGCCCCTCTTGTAACTTGGCCCGTTCGTATGGCCTTCCATTTGCCTCACAGTTGCCACGAATGACCACTCCTAGTTCATCTGTTTTCACCCACTCAGGTTTCCCTTGTCGATTGCCTCTTCCTACTGCCCTGTTTGTGTGACGAACGCCTCTGCTTCCCAAAGCCGCTCACCAACAGGGGTTCGAGGGATGTTTTCTTTTTTAGGCCATGTACTTGCCCTTGTATGGAAACTACTGCAAGTCGGACACC